AAACCTAGACAATCTATGTTAAGTGTTGTCATAACCTAATTTTTTACTTACTAAAAATAAGAGGCAATTTTAAAAGTTAGTGTAATGGTTTCTAATTACCCTTGCAAACTTTCTAAACTAAACCTTTAAGAGATCAAATTACCAACATAAACACTCATAAAAAGACACAGCTAACTACTCCAAATGTGACTGAGTATAGAAATGTGTATGATATCTCAGTGGACATCATAAAAAAGAGATTAAACATTTGGACCTTCTACAGCTGTCCCCCCAAATCCAAAGGAATAAAATTCCTCAGTAATTTGCCTTACAAACAACATAATCCTTAACATATTACAGTAACACAATTTTAGGATGCTCATTGTAAGGCTACTTACAACAAAAGTGAAAGCAGTACAAGATCAAGTTTTAATGTGATTTAATGCATTTATGCAGTGCTATGAAATCTTGCTCAGTTTTCTAATGTGCTTGACTGAATAAAATTTACATATTAGAAAAAAGAAAAAGAAAAAAGAATAAATCTGCCATGGCCTGGGGTATAAAAAAATAGTAATAAATTTTTAAAAAGAAAATTTACATATTGGGTCTATTAAATGCAAACATTTTCACAATTTTTATCCCTATACCTTATCCACTTGCAAGAAGAAAATTTCAGGTCTCATTTCAGTCTGCTTTCTAATCTATACTGGGCACTTTTATTGTTTTGGACCACAAAGTAAACTGCAAGTCTTAGAAAAGCTCTTTCCAGTTCCACCACTAAACTGATGAGGGTCATGGGTTGTCTATTCATGGAGACCCACAATGGTACCCATTTACAGTTCTCATTATCCTCCAAAAAGAAGGAACTCTCTTTCAAATGTTTGTACTTGGCTTCCCTGTAGGAAGAGCCTAGTTTATGCACAAACATAAAATAGTTACACTGCTGATCTTGTCATTTAATTCTGCAATCCACTCTTTAGAAATTAATCTAAAAAATGTCACTTCGACTTTAAAAGCTGTATTTATTCCAAAACTCATTATTTAAAACTTTAGCTACCATTTAAAACTTTAACTTTCCAATAGATAATGCTTATAAAACAAGATTCTTATCTAATGTAGAATAAACAAATGAACTAGTCGCAAGTTAAAATTGCAAACATTTTTCAGAGCAAAACAAAAAAATCATTATTAAAGGTTTCCAACTTTTTATAACCACTCACACTTTTCCTTTGTCGTAACACAACATGCCTTTATACACTGTATTTGTACATTTATTTTTTGGTGGGTAAAGAATGTGGATTCAGAGCTTTGGTCTTAATTCCTAAATTCTGTTCATATCCATTTGATCACATATAACAATTTTGACTGCAATTGTTTTAGTAAGAAAAAAGTTATTTAAAATTCTTAACAACTGATAGAAGCTGTGTGATTTTATGAGTTACCAAAGAAAAGATTTAATACATAAACACAAAGATTAGCCATCTTTTTCCTAGACTGGACGTGTAAACAGAAATTCACCACAGTTGTCTGTTAAGAGTTATTTATTAATTGCTCCACAATAGTTCTAAAGTTCATTACAAACCAAAGTACTGAAATAAGTCTGAACTGAATGAACAGCAAAATCAGAACAGTTTTCCAACTAAAGGTCCTTTTTACCCTTTTAACAGTTAATATTGGAGTAAATGTTATATTCCCTATTTTCCAAATGTGACTGAGTATAGAATGTGTATGATATTTTCCTTCAAAATCTATTCCTTTTCTTCTCCATTCTAAGATATCCTTTAATTACCTTTACACTCAACCCCTGCCAATTATTCTTCTATTCTCTATAAACATGGGAAATACATTTTCCCCTCTGGAGTATAAGCTCCAAATCATTAAATTTTTCTCCAGCTTCTATCTACACTTCCCAAGATACCAGTTTCAACATATAACATGCTTTACAAGGCTTATCATACACAGTACATTTGCACCTAGCTAGTCACACACAGGCTATAATGAAGTATAGTCTGTTATTAAGAACTCAATATTATTCCTCCTAGGTAAAAAGGTGTAGGTTGGTTGTAGGTTTTTTCACTTTTGCCAAAAGCTACTCTGTGCAACTGCAGAACCACAGTAGTTGACTGTAATTGTTATAAACACAACTGTTGACAGAAAATACTGAACTACTGTCAAGTGTACTACCTATATGGTAGTTATTATCAGATGAGAAGTGCAAAGACTTATAAAATCTATTCAACTAATTACTTGACCAGCTTATCATAAAGCTCTATGGCTTTTTGTAACCTAAATGCATTCCATAAATGCTAAGTAGTTAAACTGCAGATAAATCAATTCAGAAGCACCCATAATATCTGATGATTTTCTTAGGTTTTAACTTCCTAATTATCTATGCAACAAAATTTCAATATTTAGGATATCTTCTAAATTCTTAACCTAGGGTCCATAACTAAGAATTTATTTCAAAGTTGGAGGAGGTCTTGTGACGATGTAGACTGGCTTGCACATTTTCATTTGTTGATATATCTCTGCTAACATACAGGGGACAGGGGGCCATCAATTCTATCGGGTGCCCAGAGTCTGTGACCCAAAAAAAAAAATGTTACGCAGCACTTGTATGAGTAAGCCAAAGAATTTAAATAGAATCTATTTAAATTAGTCACACTCAAATACAGTCAAGCATAAGACAACAGAATTCTAAGATGCTGTGTTCATGCTAATGTTCATTTTAAATGTTACCAAGGATGTAAAAAAATAACAATACAGTATTTTCCCTCACTATCTATCAGTAATTCTTTATCATCTCATAGAGGGTACAAGCAGATTGGTAAGCCAGCACAGATCCCTCTTCTTAAATACCAGGAGGGATCCCATAACAAAATATTCATAGAACATTACTGACATAACCTCACGCAGCATGATGTATGGATCATATCATAGCACTAACAAAGGAGCCTTGCACCACATTTAAAAAATGAAATCCTATCAGTATGTATCATAGAAAACACGAAGACCATAAAACTCAGAAAATGAAGTCTTTAGGTATATTTTACTCTTAAAAGTAGAAGTTAAGTTCAGAAGCTAATTATTTTTGGTGAGGGAAGTTCTTCTGTTTAACAAGAGTCTATGAATTTGGAAGGTAAAAATTCCATGTGACCTCATGAAGTCATATTGCTCAAACTGTCACCCAGTTCAGGCTTAAATGCTACTAATGGCAAGTAATTACAAAATGCCAGATGACACGAATGAATACAAACTTTTGCCTCTCTCATCTGATGAGCATAATACAGAAAACTAAAGTAGAAATATTTGTATCAGTTTGCAACTTTTTATGCTAAAAATTATAGATGTTTTTCCACTGTTCATTAAATTACCTCAAAAATACTGACCAGCAATTGCTAAATTATGGTAGTCCTTATTCTGAATTTCCAGTAGCACAAGAGAAATCCAAAAGCATTGTTTCCTACTTCATACCTTAACATCTTAAAAGTAAAAAAAATCTTAATTTAAAAATGATCATATTCAGAGACAGACATTCCACAGAATAAAGGCAGGTGGGCAGGTTAAAAAAAAAAATCAATCTGTAAGTGCTAATCTAGAACAGAGAATAAGTCACCTGTGCAAAGAAGTAAAAAGTTGGATTTCAATGCGTAATCACTGAGATTCTGCTTAGCACTCTTGTTCAAGGAAACAACCAAATCTAGCAAATACACTCAGGCAAAAAAACAAAACAAAAAACTTACATTTCCTAATCACAGAGACTCACCAGTACAGATAATCTCTACAGAGAAATTCATGCTTTTACTTAATATCTTTATCATTTTCTATAATACTATCACATACCAAAAAAAAGCCAAGCCTCAAAGACCTATTCTACCCTTTTAATTTATTCCCAATTCCTCAACTCTGTAGTCATTAAATTTCAAAGCACAATTGTCTTATGATCTACTTTTTCTCCTTCATGTTTGTAAGTTTACTAATATATTACACATTTACTAATTTTCAGTTTCTGCATCTTCATTATTTATATGGTTTAGCTCTTTCCTTCTAATATTTATACTATCAACTTTTTAAAACATTGCTATGATTTAATAACACCTTCTTCCTACCTAAAATGCTCAAGACCATTGTAATCTAAATCATACTGTCATTTTATTACAACTTTTTAATTAAAAAAATTTTTTTTCCCAAAACTGGTGCCATAGTATATTACAACCTTTTTGAGGTAAAAAAGGATGCACCTAAAACCAGAAGATATTGGAATCTGATTTAAAATAAAACCTCGATAAATAATTTCTCAGGAGTAATATTAGGATGGCTAACCCAATTTCAATAAAACATATTCTGATTTATATATTAAATTTCTATTCTTCCATATTATTATGCACCTAAAACATATTCAATGTTCATAAAGTATTCAATGTTCATAAAACATTGAATATTTTCATGTTGTCATAAAACAATGAATATTTTATGAACATTGAATATGTTTTGGGTGCATAGTAACACGGAAGAACAAAAATTTAATATTATATAAATCTGAATCCTTTTTTTTTTTTTTTTGAGACACAGTCTTGCTCGGTCGCCCAGGCTGGAGTGCAGTGGCACAATCTCCGCTCACTGCAACCTCCCCACCTCCCAGGTTCAAGCAATTCTACTGCCTCAGCTTCCTGGGTAGCTGGGACTACAGGCACATGCCACCACGCCCAGTTGCTTTTTTGTATTTTAGTACAGACGGGGTTTCACTGTGTTGCCCAGATTGGTCTCAAGCTCCTGAGCTCAGGCAATTCACCTGCCTTGGCCTCCCAAAGGGCTAGGATTACAGGTGTGAGCCACCACACCCAGCCTTGAATCCATTTTCAACTAAAATAAACCGAGAAACAAAAAATACCTAAGTTTAAAAAATACAATTAAAATACAAGCCTCTAAACTGCAGGTTATACCACAGATGTGAATATTTTAGAAAAAGGTTAATAGAAAATTCTGAAAAACGTACTGGATATTAAGTAATATCTCCTTTCTTCAATTTTGTGATTAACAGGACTTTTATTGGTAGTAAACTAGAGCAAACAATCAGAATAATACATATGCAGTATTCAGTACACACAATAAAAGTTAAAGAAATTCAAAACCTGTATAAAACAAACTGGAGAAAAATCATACAGCTTAAGAGATACAGTGGTAAAGGTCCTCTCCATCCTTTGATTACAGCTTGTACTCTGTACTCAATAGAACTTACCGCACTTACTGAAATAAGAAATAAACACTTTTTAGTACTGAGTGTATTTAAGAAGATTAAGTACATTTTCTAAGAATCTTGCAATGACAAGTTGGTGACCCTTTAGCTGCTAAAGCTAAAGGGAGGAAAGTGGGAAAAGGAAATTAACTAATACTTTGTAACCATTTTAAATATTTCTTATTTTCCAAACACTGCTTTTATAACAGAAGTGTTTTACACTTGCACAATATTAATTACTTTATTATACATGGAAGCCTGCGGTAGGCTGATTACACAATAAGACTGCAAACAACCAGTGGTACTTTTCTGACGTCAGAAGAGTACATAAGACTGAAACATCACCAAAAGTACATAAAAAACTCATCAGCATAAACATCAAAGTACATTAAAAAATATAATCAGGAAAAAAATACAATTGCTAAAAAGCAGTTTAGAGTAGAGCCACTGCCTATCAGTAGCTTCAAATGGCAATTAGAGTTCATAGCAAGTTTTGATGACTTTACAAGACCCCTGTACAATACTAATGCACCCTTTTATTAAAATGTACATTAAAGGCCGCAATTTCACAAAGAGGTTCTGATGTTATTACTATATGCAGACACATCATCCCTCACAGGAGTTATGTCACCAGTTGGAATTACAACCTTATTAATGGGGTTTTATTATATATGGAAATCTGTATGGGTTTTTTTTTTTTAAAAAAAAAGGTGGGTTTTGGGGATGTTTACCCTATTGTTTTGTATTTGGATGCCCTAAGGCATATAAAGCGCATAATTACCTACTGGAATGTAAATGGTACTAAAATTAAAACTGTCAAAATAGAAAGAGGGAATAAGGAAGGCCCAAGAGCTCTTTTTAAAGAGAGGCTGAGAACAAGAAAAAAAAAACCCAGAAGTGTAGGTAATATGTAACAGCGCAAACAAAAGAACCGTTTAGGCCATGTATAATAAATAATGCATACCCCAAATTTCAGTTAATCATATAATTTCAACTTGAGTTCTAATACTAGAACCAGCCAACCACTTGGGTTTCAACACTGTACTAGATGTCAGTAGAATCGCTTGATGGAATTACAGCCTTGTTACAGTTGGGATAAAGAGAGGGTGCTTTTTTTTTTTTTCCTTCTTTTATTAAAGCTATCATTCCAGGCTTTGATCAAAGATCCAAGAATATTTGTTCTACCAGGCTGGAATGAACGTGGTTTGGAAGTTCAGAGTACATTTAAAAGCTGCAAGAAAATATAGGTAGCCAACAATCTCAGAATTTTGGATCAGCCCAGATGGAGATAGCAATTTGAAATGTTTTCGATCCCTTACTTAAATGACAAAATGTATATCAGCCCAGATAGAGCAATTTGAAATGTTTTCGATCCCTTACTTAAATGATGAAATGTATATCATACTATCTGTAAATTGGATATTCCATTACAGTGATAACGTACAGAATTCCCATGCGTTATTACACTTTCCTGAGAGTAAAGCAATTAGAATAACCTTAATCCTAGCAACAAAGTTTTTTTTGTTTTGTTTTTTTGTAGGGTTTTTTTGTGTTTTTTTTTCCTTTTTTTTTTTTTTTTGCATTTAAAACATTTGGGCTATTCCCTGACGATCTATACATGTAAATTTGATTGCTAAACATTGTCACTTTGAATGTCAAACTATTTTTAATCTATTGATTTTGATTAAAAATCATAATACAAACAGAGCTAAAATCACACTAACAAAATAAACTAAATATGAAAAGTTGCATTGAAAGGGCATCACATTATTCTTAATAGGATCGTGTAGAAACATTCCAATGGCAGTGTTGTCAAAATAAAACAAAATTACATTAGAAGACCCCCAGCCTGGTCACTTTTGGGACCTTACCTGTAACTCTGGCTGGTGGGTGTCTTTACTCTTGTACTACATGGCTCACTTACATCAGACATCATATTTGTATACCCTGAGAAATCTGACACTGAAGTCCTTACTCTATGGTCCACTTCTCCATTAGAGTTAGTGATAAAGGTCATTGGCACCCTGCTGCCCGACTTAAACTGAGAACCAAACGCTTGTGCAAAGTTCTCAATCTGATACGTTGTTCTAGGCTCTATGTCTTTCTGAGGATCTATCTGGCTAGCTAACTCCTGAGATGGAATCTGAAAGCCTGTTGAAGACTCTAAGTTTTTCTGTTCCTTCTGGCTAGTCAATTTCTGAGATGAGGACTGGAAGGCTGATGAAGTCTCTAAGTTCTTCTGAGAATCTATCAGATCATCCAGCTCCTGGGAAGGTGTCAACTGCTGATGTGTAGCATCCAAAGCAGACAAATAAAGACCTGGCTGCGATCCAAACAACATCCCAAAAGGAGGCTTTGGCAATGAAGATGGCAACACTGAGGTAACAGATTGGCCAAAACCACACTCCAAAGGAGACGTAGTGTATATTTGTTTTTCTGGAAACAAAGTGTGGTTGTGGAGAGGTGAAGACAAACTGACAAATTGGAAACCATGTCCAAGAGTGAAACTTGCATTAGTGGATTTTTCAAAAGCCTGTTGGAGGTATTTGGAGTATTCTTGCAACATACTTGCTTTATCATTTGAAGGTGTTTGGGTGCCTGGGCTCAAATTTTCTTCTTGAACCAATTCTGAGTGTTCTCCTGAGGTGTGTAAATCCACTCGTGGTTCTGTAATATTGAAAGGATCCTCTTTCTGGCTTTCTGATTTGTTGGAGTATTGATCCAAAATACTTTGTAAAACCTCATCAGGAATTCCAGACTTGTCATGACAAGACTTAATCTCAGCATTTAGAGCTGAGGAGTCAATAAGTGACAATGGTGCCTCATTGTCCAAAACACTGACACCTGCAGACTGAATGACAGACTGTTGGGAGACCATGTGTCCTACGTTTATAGAAAAGGCACTGTTGCTGCTGGCAGTTGGTAAATATCTTCTTTTCTTTGAAAACTGCATGGCATCATCATAATTACTACTTATTTGACCTTGTTTGCCACTTGTACTTTGGAGAAGACCAATGGTCTCCACACTATTATTTGATACTATGCCAAGTGAGCCACTTGGTTTTCCAGACAAGGATTTCTGTCCTACTATGTCTGGTAATGGTGACACAAAGTTTAGGTAGTTTTTGTCTGTATTTTTTCTGCTTCCTTTCTTAAAGATCAATTTTGGCACCCTTTTCTGCAGTTCATCTATTCCAGTGCCAATTATGCCTCCACTGGAAGACACGGTAGGCATTTCTACTGAGTAACTCTGCATGTTTATATTATTTGAAATTTGTGATTCATTTGTTTTACCGGTCTTCTGTTCCTTATTTTCAATAGCTATGCTTTTTGACTTTGTTTTTCTCCTTGAAGAACTTGTATTTCCCTGAGACAACACAGCCAGATTACCCATATTGTTATGGTTTGATGACCCAGGTTCTGCACTAGTGGCTCCTTTAACTATGACTTCACCACATGTGCGCCTGTGCTTCAACAATCTATCAGTCCTTGAAAAATACTGTTGGCAAGTGTCACACTTATATGGCTTTTCTCCACTATGTGTCCTCTTGTGTCTCTCCATATGGTACTTCTGAATAAACTTCATGCTGCACTGATCACATCCAAATGGCTTCTCTCTACTATGAATTTTCTCATGTCTCTGTAGTAGGTATTTCTGAATGAAACCCATACTACACTGGCTGCACTGGAAAGGTCTTTCTCCTGTATGAATGAGGACATGTCTCCGCAGATGATAGGAGCTTCGGAAAGCAGCACTACAGTGATCACAGATATGAGGTTTCTGACTTGGGGAGAGGATGGCACCTTCTCCATCTCCAACCAAAGAAGGTTTGGAAGATGCACTTGGCTTCCTCTTGGCTTTGATTCCCTGAGATTCTGGCTTTGGCCTTTTTACCTTTTTGACATTAGTGTCCTGCTTTGGCTCCTCACTGCCATGGTGGTCATCAGTCCTGCTACTGCTGCTGAGCAATACGTCGCGGTGGTGCTGAGCTGGTTGCTGCTGGACATGCTGGTGGAGAATACTGAGGTCCTGGATGACGCCGTGACTCCCCCCTTCACCGCCTCCTAGGCCTGGAGACCTCTCTTCAGCTCCAGCGAACAGCCCCCCATAGTGGTGGTGGTGATGGTGGTGGTGGGACTGCTGCTCCTCAGGATCCGCGGGTTTCTCCTGTTTGATGCTAACCAAAGACTGCAAGAATCCCCAGGAGGTCCTCTGCGAGGGGAAGGCCGCGGCTGACGCCGCCGGCTCCTTCTTGAAAGTCATGTCCGGGGCTGGCGGAGGGGGGGGCTCAGCGGCCGGGGCTGCGGAGGTAGAGGAGGATAACACGCATTGCGGGGGAGGGGCGGCCGACCCCGCCGGCCGGGTGAAGCTGGTGACCGGGGGAAGCCGGTGGTTGAACATAACCATACCCTGGGGAAAGGTGGGTTCCATCTCTGCCCTCCTGCCGCTGCTGCTGCTGCCGCCGCCGCCGCCGCCACTACCACCGCCGCCGGAGCCGCTACCACCGCTACTGCCGGTACCTCCGCCGCCACTCAGGAACCCACTGCCGATTTTCATACCCCGGAGGAGGCCTGGCTGAGGAAAGGAGGAGGAAGAGGGAAGAGGGAGGAAAGGAGGTGGAACCGGGCCCCGGGCCGGGACCACCGCAGCGCTAAGGACCCCGCCGCGCCGCCGCCCAGACCGCAACGCGCCCAGCACTAATTCCCAGCCCAGTCGCCTCCGGCACCGGCACGCATGGTCCTGCGACTCTTCCCCAGGCCTCGCCCTCTCCCTCCTGGACCCACCGGCAACACTTACGGGTCCCGCCGCCGCCGCAGCCGCCGTCGCCTCCAGTTAATAAAAATAACGCCGTCCTCTCCACAATGGAATTAAAAGCCTCCCGTGTACTGCGCAGCCGCGGCGCAGTGTCTGCTGGGAACTCCTCGACCCGGCCAGAGGGGAGGTCTGAGGAGCCAGGGCGCCTGCGCCGCAGCTTCCGCCCGGTCTGCCTGTCAATCACTGGGGCGGTTGGGCGGAGGCGGGGGAGCAAGGGCAGGAGAGGCGGGGATTTGGAGCCCTACTAAAAAGGGGCTTTCGAGGTGCATGGGCGTGATTGGTGGGCTGCACTGAAGGAGATGAGAGTGGTTGAGGGTTTCTGGGGGGAAAACGCTCAGGAGGTGGAATCCAAGGGGCGGGAAGTTACGGGGGACTGTACTACAGCGTGGCGTGGGAGATGCAGAGAAAGAGGCTGAAAGAGAAGGTGGGGGAAACTGAGGATTCAATATTAGGGCTTTCTTCACTCTAGGTTTTGCAATCCAGGTCTTGAAATAAAATTCAAACTCAGAAGTGGATCATTGAGGGCACTTTTGATTCTATCAAGAAGCATTCAACTCCAAATGCTCAACATTTATTAAAACAGGTGCTTATGTTATCCCTTCGAATTTGGAAGCACTAATAATGGGCGCATATCCTTTGCATTTATAGGAGGAGCCTGCTTTGAAACCGCAATTAGTGGTACCGTTGCAAAAAAAAGAAAGCAAAAAAATCTTGTCTTACTGCCAACCTTCCTGAAGGCTACTGGAAGAGGAAACCGAGCGTAATCCAGGTGCAGCAGTCCTGTAAAACACGCCCACACACATACTTCATTATCATCACATCTTATTTAAATGCCCCCATACCTTAGCCTGGCTAATCAGTCTGTTTGCCATGTTATAAATGCCTGGCCCTTTATATTGTTTATGCAAAATTAACCACCAGGCCATTCTAAGAGCTCTGCTAGGATCCACTCTCCTCGCCAGTACAGAATGCCGAGAAACTCATTGCAAATTTAGAAATTTTTCTCGTAAAGGAAAGTAATGAAGTAAAATCTTAAAATCAAAGTTATATCAACAAAATCAAACAACAAATATTTATTCAGTGCCTAATGTGCACAAGGCATTCGATTTCATGTTAAGCACGCAGAAATCTAAACCAGACATTTTCCTAGCAAAGGATATTTATAAATGAGAAATTTTAAATAAAAGAACCAGAACTATGACAACAGCTTATTTACATAGTATGTTTTCTTAATGAAATTACATGTACATCACAATGTTTCTAGCTAAATAATTTCTCATAATTAAATAATAAATTCTCTGAGAAATTTCACAATCGAAACCATAGGGATTATTTACTAATACTTATGGACCTCTCTGAGCCTGCCCTAAAAAATTTAAGGACGATATTTAATGAGCATTTTGAGATAAGAAGTAATTGCTTTTTTTCTAATCCCATGAAACAACATGTAAGTATTCCACCACTTAAACTGACACTTTAATTCTGTCAAGTATAGTTGTGATATTGTGAAATATATATTTGGACTTTGAACCGTTTTGTGGCACACAACTGCTAAAATCCTTGGAATCTGCAAAGTAATAAATGTCTTTTTGTATGCTAATGAAGCGACTGATGATGGCTGGCAACCCCTTGGTAGCTTCAGGATGGGGGCTGGTCACCGGAAAGGCCAAGGCAGGATTAGAGTTTGGGACTTTCAGTCCCACCCCCCGACCTCCGGGGAGGAGAGAGGGATTGAAGGTTAAGTTGATCTCCAATGGCCAGTGATTTAATCAATCATGCCTGTGTAGTGAAGCCTCCATAAAAACCTAAAAAGGACAGGGTTTGGAAAGCTTCCTGTAAGCGAACCCGTGAAGGTTCCGGGAGGGTGGCGCACCCGGAAAGGGCATGGAAGCTCCACGCCCCTTCCCACATACCTTCCTCTATCCATCTCTTCATCTGGTGTTCATCGATAGCCTTTGTAATGTCCTTAATAGTAAACTGGAAAACGTAAGTGTTTGCCTGGGTTCTATGAGCTGCTCTAGCAAATTAATCAAGCCCAAGGAAGGGGTCATGGGAACCGCGATTTATAGCTGGTGAGTCAGAGCACGGGTAAAACAACCTGGGGCTCGTGATTGGCATCTGAAATGGGGCCAGTCTTGTAGGCCTGGGCTCTTAATCTGTGGGATCTGATGCTGTCTCCAGGTAGATAGTGTCAGAATTGAATTGGAGAACACCCCGGTGGTGTCTGCTGCAGAATCGATTGTTTCCTCAGTGTGTGGGGAGAAACCCCTACACATTTGGTCACAGAAAGAGACGGGCGGATCACAAGGTCAGGAGATCGAGACCATCCTGGCTAACATGGTGAAACCCCGTCTCTACTAAAAATACAAAAAACTAGCCGGGCGAGGTGGCGGGCGCCTGTAGTCCCAGCTACTCCGGAGGCTGAGGCAGGAGAATGGCGTGAACTCGGGAGGCGGAGCTTGCAGTGAGCTGAGACCCGGCCACTGCACTCCAGCCTGGGCGACAGAGCGAGACTCCGTCTCAAAAAAAAAAAAAAAAAAAAAAGAAATCTTCTGTGTTGATTGTTGAGTGAGAGTATAGGAGAGGCTGAGTTTTTTGTTTGTTTGTTTTTTGTTTTTTTCTACAATAGCTAAGTGTTAAAGACTGAAAGTTGAAAAACTTAAGGCAGTCGTAAAATATTAGTCAATGCCTATGAGAAATGAGGCTGTCCCTTTATTCAGGGTGTCAGTGTTTAATGGTAAGCTGGGATGCATATAAGCTAGTCCAAGCATGAAGGGCAGTAGGACACTCATATGAAAAACCAACTTTGTTCCTCAGTTATCAAGATAAGAAACCTGTCATTTCTCTCATTCACTCTGTCAGCCTTGAGATACTCCAAGCAGACTTACCTCTGTGTTGTACACCCCATATATCAGGAAGATGAAGAGACCCTGTGAAATAAAATGGAGGGGAAAAGCTGTTAACGCTAATCATTTCAGCAGAAGAAATACCTGAAATAAACTTTCCTGGGAACAGACAAAAGAAGACACACTTCATCAAGGTCAATTTATTTTCCTATTTTTCAACATTAGAAGGTGTACCTTGAGCATTTATATGATAACATAGCAAGCACATCACTTGTAGTGGTTATGCTATTCAATTCTTTAGAAGTACAAAATAAAAATACCATCCCAAGTACAAAGAATATTAATCAGAAAAATCAATATACCAGTTCTGAAAGATAGCTGGGTAATGAAAAAATTAAACTCAGGAAATGTTATTAAAGTAATCATAGAAATAACACTAAGCATCAGTATTTCCAAGCACCGTTTTAGACTGTAGCAACTAGAATAGATTTGTTACAATCTTCAACAGGGTTAAATTTTGAAAAAAAAATTATAAAGCAGCTAAAAGAATAAACTTAAGGTAATAAGTATAAATAGGTTTTAAAATAATACTCGAAATACCAGCTCAAGATAAAATTTCACATTACCATCTGTTGTGAACTTCATACACTTTTATTGTAATCTGTATGTGTAATAAACATTCCAAAGATGTTAATCAGTCTTTAGCTTTAGAAAATGCTTAATTAATTAGAAAATATAAATTGAACCGCACTCTTAACTCTAAAATCTTAACTTTAAAAGAAAATAAAACCTATATGCTTTAAACTTACAGAAAACAGACAGCAAAAATTTTCACTTTGGTGAGGAAATAAAAATCTATATTGTAGCGTTCTTGTTAGGTACTAACAAACCAACTATTAAATAGGAGTCTGTACTAAATCTGGAAATGGTTCAAATAGTTAAGTAATATGATACTTTCCCAAGGAAAATACTAAAGGAATATTTTAATATTTGTTTATCTCTGAATGCTTAGATTTTACAGATAATGGAAACAATCCCAGAACAAAAAGATTGTATAAAACTAGTGATTCTTGTTTTCTATTAATTTCTTTTTAATTAGACTTTGTTTTTTAGAACAATTTTAGTTTTACAGAAAAATTAATAAGATAGTAATCAGGCTGGGTGCAGTGGCTCTCGCCTGTATTCCCAGCACTTTCGGAGTGCTGAGGATCGGGCAAGGCGGGCCGATCACTTGAGGTCAGGAGTTCAAGACCAGCCTGGCCAACATGGTAAAACCTCGTCTCTACTAAAAATACGAAAATTAGCCAGGCATGGTGGCACATGCCTGTAATCCCAGCTACTAAGAAGGCTGAGGCAGGAGAATCACTTGAACCCGGGAGGCAGAGATTGCAGTGAGCAGAGATCGCACCCCTGCATACCAGCCTGGGCGATAAGAGTGAAACTCCATCTCAAGAAAAAAAAAAAAAAGTACTAACAGTTTGCATATATCCATCCCCAGTTTCCTCTATTATTAACATTTTACATTAGTATGGTATATTCATTATAACAAATCTAATTCTTTTCAATACTACTACCTTTATAATTTCAGAATCTAAAACTGTTGCAATGTATACATTTATATTAATAAGAATAATGAAAAGTTATGAACAATAAACAATTTCCATTTCGATAATAAACTTTTAAAAATTCAACTATAGCTACACTTTTTTTTTAACTGTGTGTATACAATGTCCCAAAGTTCAATACCAAACTCACTTTCCTCCTTCCAATAGCCTTCATCAAGATCTATCTAGTGCAGACTAAATTCAAGCCACTCAGTACTTGAGTTTAGTACTCATTTTATAGGCTACTTGTTTGCCCCAATTCTGGATAATTCTAAATAGTTCAAGAAAAAAATCTTTTTTCTGATTTATGTAAAAACTCTAAAATAATTAAGAGTTCCTCCTCCCTCAATAATTGTTAATTTTTTATTCCTTATTTTGCTACATAAATAAAAAATTAAGGGTAAGTCACTCAAATTTTAATTCTATTTATGAGATAGGCATTTTTGCTTTGTATAATAGGCGAGTTCCTGAATAAATAAAATTTCCTGAACATTGAAAAACATGCATTATTATTTCTGTATAAGAAACTCAGCTGTTTATTTGAAATCTATATGATGCTTTGAAAATCAAAGAGCTGGCCAGGTGCCATGGTTCACGCCTGAAATCCCAACTCTTTGGGAGGCTAAGGCAGGAGGATCGCTTGAGGCTGGGAGTTTGAGACAAGCCATGGCAACAATAGCAAGACCCTGTCTCTACCAAAAATTTAAAAGTCAGCCGGGCATCGTGCTGCATGCTTGTAGTCTCAGCTACTCAGGAGATGAGAGGATCACTTGAGCCCAGGAGTTAGAAGCTGCAGTGAGCTGTGATCGCACCACTGCACTCCAGTCCATCCTGGCAACAGAGTGAGATCCTATCTCTAAAAAAAAAAGAAAAGAAAAAGAAAATCAAAGAGCACTTTAGTAATGGTATAATCACCGCTATAATTTATCTGTCTTATAAGTTTTATTTTTTCCCCATGTCTTGGTAAACTGAGAAAGTAGAGTATGCTTCATATTTTTATTTACTACGCTACCATGTTACTTATTATATATTTTAATTTTAATACATTTAACCCTTAAATGTAAAATAATCACAACAAAAATACTCTTTTTGAAAACAGGATTTAGATTTTAAAAGGATTTTAGATAAAGGCAGCTTCCATCTCAAAAGCTTTTTTCTCTTTTCCCCTGTCCTCAACAGATGTATACCTAACAGCATGATAAGGAAGCCCCAGAAGGATGTTTCTAAAGACCATGAGGGAGTCTGAAACCTGAAATCATGCCAAGGACTCTCTGCTTCTCTTTCGCTTGGGGTGTCTACCTGATGCTGCCACAACCAGTTGAAGCATATAACATTAACAATAAAAATTAGTTTTTTTGTAACTAATTTTATGCCCCATAATTGTATGCCCCACACATGACTTTTTTTCTCCACTAATTTTACCAGCTATTCACAGTCGTGATCATTTAGATCTAATGCCACAGAACTTCATAAACCCTTCACTACTAGAAAACATCCTATTTTCTCAAAGAGAAGAATCGAAACAGAAACAGCTAAACATAAACATCTTAAGCTATAACTGTGAGCCACTTTTTAAATTCCTGCAGAGAGAATACCTTTAAGAACAGCTGGAAGGAACCAACTGCCAATCTTCAACTGGCACTGCGATTTCTGGAACTCCTTATAGCAACATTCTGTCCTACTAAGGAGTGAATACTGAAAGTATGCCACATTTCTGAATTTAATGATCCCTCATGTCTGTTAGATGGTTTCCACTATTTCATCCACAGAACAGTTCATCTGTAATGTATTAATATATGAAGTATTTTCTATAGAGGTACCTATTTCTCAATGTTTTAGTCACAGTAAAAATAACAATAATTGGGCAGGAAGCATCCAAAGTGAGGCTGGATTCCTGTAGCATGCGTGTACTTTATGGGCAGGGGCCAGGAGTTGGGAAAGAACACCAGGATATTACATCTGATACTGTACAGAAGTTAAAAATAGAAACTAAGGGAAAGAGAAAAAAAATTCTCGATGATTTCATTCTCATTTATCTATGAAACATTGAAAACTCAGGCGACTTTGTAAATATTTACACTGTTCTAGAAGTCTTGAGCATTATCTTCAAATAGATTCAGTGGTTGACATCAAGTCTGTTGTTGTTATATTGATCTGTATTTTTATAGTACACTTCATGATTGTTACAGAATCAATCTTCTTTAAGTGGTAATATGTTCTTCCTTGGCAATACAAAGAACAGGAAAGGTGCCCCGTACATAGTCCATCGCCTCCTCAGGAATCAGAATAGTATTAACAGTGCTAATATCTGGATAGCTCTCTCAAGCACTTTCATTTACATAAATTCATTTGTTCTTCACTACAACATTGCAAAGGAGGCCGTGTGAGTATTATTAGCTTTATTCTTATATAGGGATTTTGAGACTTGTGGCTCACAGTGCCACAATGCTGACAAGTTGGCAGAGCCAAGGATTAGTGTTTGACTCCTAACATAATGCTCTCTCACACGCCTTATCTAGACACCTTCATAACTCTTTTTTTTTTTTTTTTTTGAGACGGAGTCTCACTCTTTCGCCCAGGCTGGAGTGCAGTGGCACGATCTCAGCTCGCTGCAAGCTCTGCCTCCCGGGTTCATGCCATTCTCCTGCCTCAGCCTCCCGAGTAACTGGGACTACAGGCGCCCGCCACCACGCCCAGCTAATTTTTTGTATTTTTAGTACAGATGGGGTTTCACCATTTTAACCAGGATGGTCTCGATCTCCTGACCTTGTGATCTGCCTGCCTCGGCCTCACAAAGTGCTAGGATTACAGGTGTGAGCCACTGCGCCCAGCCAACAACTTCATAACTCTTAAGTCACTAGCTTCAAGATAATGCAATTGGTGAGACTTTTGGAAGCTCAGGTTTATTAAAAGCATGTTGCAGTTTGATTAGTTCATAGGGTCAGGGACTCAGTATTTAGTAACAGGGCTTCGAGTAACCCTGGTCCTCCACCTAACAAGTACAACAGGAAATACGGTTGGCAATAATGATTCTCAGTTGCTATGGGCCAGTTTCTGTCTCTTGTACTTTTCTTATAGATTCTCATTCAATGACGTATACTTTCTGGTTGCTGGGAAACATACCTTTTACCATCAAAAAAAAGACTGCTAGGTAACCGTATTGTCAAATATTCTTATCATTGTCATCATTTACTAAACTTTTTTGAGTATATGTTACTACGCCGTATACTTTTATATATTCACAAATCCTGTTCCAATCTACTTTCTCTTTTGTTTGTTTGTTTTGTCTGTTTGTGTTTGTTTTTGTTTTGAGATGGAGTCTCGCTTGTCACCCAGGCTGGACTGCAGTGGCATGATCTCAGCTCACTGCAACCTCCACCTCCCGGGTTCAAGCGATTCTCCTGCCTCAGCCTCCCAAGTAGCTGGGACTACAGGTGCCCGCCACCTCGCCTGGCTAATTTTTTGTATTTTTAGTAGAGAGGGGGTTTCACTGTGTTAGCCAGGATGGTCTCAATCTCCTGACCTCATGATCCGCCAGACTTGGCCTCCCAAAGTGCTGGGATTACAGGCGTGAGCCACTGCGCACGGCCCCAATCTACTCTCTATAAACAATTCCCATTTTGGGGATTACATCCTACAGAAACAAAAGCATTAGTGTGCAAGGATATGTATTTTTGAGGTTGCTTGTTGCAGCATTGTGCACAGTGGCAAAGAACTAGAAACAACTTGAATGCCCTTCAACACGAGAACAGCTGAAAAAATTGTGGTATCTTTATCCCTCAGGATATTAGGCAACTAAAAGAATAAGTTGGCGCTATATTAGTCTGGAGGGATGTCCTTGCATAGTTAAACAAAAAAAGCAAGAGGAAAAGATGCATTATGTTATATATTCTTAGTTCTGTAAAACAAATAGCAAAACTCTCTCTTCCTCTGCCCAAATGTAACTATTAATAATTACACAGGAGAAAGATGTGCAAGGATGCACACCAAACTGTTGTCACTGGTTTCCTAATGGTAAGGATAAGAGGAAGAGGAGGTAAGTCAGAAACAAGTGAGACAGGTGGGGCGCTGTGGCTCATGTCTGTAATCTCAGCACTTTGGGAGGCCAAGGCAGGTGGATCACCAGAGTTCAGGCGTTGGAGACCACTCTGGCCAACATGGTGAAACCCCGTCTCTACTAAAAATATCAAAATTAGCCTGGCATGGTGGTGAGCGCCTGTAATCGCAGCTACTTGGGAGGCTGAGGCAAGAGAATCACTTGAACCCGGGAGGTGGAGATTGGTGAGCCAAGATTGTTACACTTCATGTAACAATCATGAAGTGTGCAGTGCCACACCCAGGCCACTGCACTCCAGCCTGGTGACAAGAGTGAAACTCCATCTCAAAAAAAAAAAACAAAAACAGAAAAGAAGAAACAGGTGAGACAGAGCAAAGTAGAAAAACATGCTGATGTTATCAAGAGAAGAAGTGGAATATAAAATTCTATGTATTATGTTACTGTAAATATAGAAAACAATCTGCACACAAATAAGGATCGAAATATAAGGCTGACAAATGAAATATTGATTTGATTTGGAGGTAAACTTGGATTTTTTTTCTAGATTCTTATTTTAATATAAGGACTACAATAAATTTGGACAAAAAAGTGGGTTGATTTAAAGTATGTTTATTTTTTAAATGGGCTTATTTTTACTTTTATTTATTTAGTTTTCAAGAGACAGTGCCTCTCTATTTTTCCCAGACTAGAGTGGAGTAGCTATTCATAAGTGTGATCAAAGCAACTGCAGCCTCAAATTCCTAGGCTCAAGTGATCTTCCTACCTCAACCTCCATAGCAACTGGACTAGAGGTGCCCAGCTGAAATGTATTTATTATATGTACTGTAATGAAATTCCTGGTAGAACTATTTTCTCTTTTTTCTGGGCTTCTGATTTTTTTCAGGTTTTACTTCTAACTATCCTAGCATGTATATATATATGAAAAATGTGTATATACATAAGTCATATATATAAATAGAAATAAATATTTTATTTCTATTCTCTTAGATGTTTATATATATAATATACACATGTATATGTTTAATGCATACATATAACTATATGTATCTATGTATATCACCGGGTAATTGAAAATAAAATCTGTTTTTGTTTAGTTTTGTTTTGGTTTTGAGATGGAGTTTCGCTCTTGGTGGCCAGGCTGGAATGCAATGGCCTGATCTCAGCTCACTGCAACCTCCGCCTCCTGGGTTCAAGTGATTCTCCTGCTTCAGCCTCCCAAGTAGCTGGAATTACAGGCATGCACCACTATGCCCAGCTATTTTTTGTATTTTTAGTAAAGGTGGGGTTTCACCTTGTTGGTCAGGCTGGTCTCTAACTCCTGACCTCAAATGATCCACCCACCTCAGCCTCCCAAAGTGCTGGGATTACAGGCGTGAGCCACCCCACTGGCCAAAATCTGGGTTTGTTTTGAGGCAGAGCCTCACTCTGTTGACCAGGCTGGACTGAAGTGCTGGGATCTCAGCTCACTGCAACCCCCGCCTCATGGGTTCAAGCAAATCTCCTGCCTCAGCCTCCCAAGTAGCTGGAACTACAGGCATGCACCACCACGCCCAGCTAACTTTTGTATTTTTAGTAGAGATGGGGTTTCACCATGTTGGCCAGGACTGGTCTTGAACTCCTGACTTCAAGTGATCCACCGGCCTGGGCCTCCCAAAGTGTTGGGATTATAGACGTAAGCCACCACACCCGGCCAAAAATAAAATCTGAAAGAAGTCAGAAGCCCAGGGAAAGATAAAATAATTCCAACAGAAATTTCACTTCACTCCAGGTGGCCAACCCAAGAAAGAGAACATCGTGGGTTACTACATGGTTCCCATTGTGCGATAATAAGATCTATTTTTCACAAAACATATTTCCTAAGAGCAATACTGAGTGACATAAAGGAGAATATCTTTCCTTTTTTCTTTTCTTTTTTCTTGAGACAGGGTCTCGCTCTGTTGCCCAGGCTGGAGTGCAGTGGTGTGATCATGGCTCACTGCAGCCTTGACCTCCTGAGCTCAATCAGTCCTCCCACCTCAGCCTCCCTAGTAGCTGGGACTACAGACATGCACCACCACACCCAGCTAATTTTTGTCTTTTTTGTAGAGACAGGATTTCACCATGTTGCCCAGGCTGGTCTGGAACTCCTGGACTCAAGTGATCCACTCACCTCAGGCTCCCAAAGTGCTGGGATTACAAGTGTGAGCCATTGTGCCTAGATAAGGAGAATGTTTTAAATGACTGTTTTGCAGAAGAACCAAACAGGATCCAAAGGGGCAGTCAAGGGTGAAGGTTAAACCTAAGGATTTGGGGCTGGGCATGGTGGCTC